TTAGTAACTTAACCAAGTTACTAACTTAAATAACTTTAACTCTGATTCTAGTGGCCAAAGTCACAGAGAACCTGGCTCTGATTGGACGGACAGTCTGAAGTATGGCGCTGTAGGCGTCATGCTGTGGGAACGGATCAAACTCTCACATTCCAGGAATCAAGGATGAGTTTTAGTCTATTGAGAAGAAACAAGGTGACCAGAACCACTGCGGCAGAGTGACCGACCCGTTCTGGATCCAGTAGAATCAAACAGTGGGTTCTGGAACAGAACGGCGCAGTGGGGGACCTGGTCAAGGATGTGGTCTCAGAGGAAGCGGCAGCTCTGGGCTGGACTGCCTGTCCTCGGCCGAGCAGGAGGTCCACAGGAAGCAGAACCTCTGGTGAATCTTTAGGCATGGTGTGAAGGAAAGCTGAAGGTTCTGTTGGACCTGTGGACTCTTTGTAAAAGTTCTTCTGAGGATCAACAGAACAGGTAGAGAGGTTCTGTTCCTGGACTGAAGAACTTTATGCTTTAGTCCTGCTGGGCTGGGAAATGGACCTGGAGAACCGGGCTCCATGGGGATGAGGTGCATGGTAGTCAGTATTCACAGTGGATCGGCGCCGCCGGGCCCGGAGCTGCCCATGCAGACGGCTCGTCTCTGGCTCGGTTCTGCTTTAATGGCAGCTGTGGTGAAAGCTCCTCCAGCTCCAACCTTTTCCTTCCTGCTTCCCATCACGGCACTGGGAGAAATCGGTGCCGACCGAGGAGCGGTGAGGTCCCACAGCATCAGAACCCTCCCAGAACCGCCCTCCCTATCCCAATGGACCGTCAGGTGAGGAGCAGGTAGGTCCGTTCCCCTGGAGACTGAAAGGCTGGTATCCCTGAAGTTCCTCCAAAGAGGTTTGGCACGCGGTGGTTCTACAACATGGGGGGGTTCACAGTGTTCACAGGGTCCAACGGGCCTCTGGATCCCGCCTCCGTTCTGTAGAACCTTCTCAGAGTCGGTAACCTGTGAGGGAAAGAAGCACAGAAGCAGACCGTTCAGGTCCGATACCACAGCAGGTACCGCCATAAGAACCTTTCCCCCAGAAGGTCTACTAGCCCACCCGGACCGTCCCACAGTGGGTCAGAACCTGACTGAGTGGGTCAGGGATCAGGTGGTCCAGTCAGGAAGCTCAAACTCAGAGGTCCAATGAGGAACCGGTCCCTGAGCAGGTCCAGGGTCCGGTCAGGATTCAGTCACAGCAGGAACGGGTTGGATCAGAACCAGGTCATGTCTGTGATCAGGATCCGGTTCTACTGGACCTCCTCCTGGTTCCTGGACCTCACAGGGAGACGGTCACTGAGAGGAGACCTGTGGGGGAAGCGGGTCTCCATCAGGAAGGTGGTGTTTGGGACGGAGGTTACCGCTGTGAGGGAAGCTTTAGTCTGACGGATGCTCCGGGCAGGATCTGTTCACCTCGAACCACGCATCGATGCACCTGCAGCAGAACCACAGAACACGCCATCAGAACCTCCGCTAGATCTGAGCGCTCCACGGGGGAGCAAAGGTGGAGGCGGAGCTTCTGGAACCCCACCCTTTATGGTAGATGCAGAGGCAGGGAAGGCGGGCGATGGTGTCCCCCTGCTGCAGGTCCTCCAGGCAGATGGCACATTCCCCCACGTCCTTAGAGAGGACGTCCTCTGGAGGACATCACAGCAGAGCAGAGACATGAGGACAGAGCGGGACGGAGGGGGGACAGGAGGAGAGAGAGGGGGAGAGAGGGGGAGACAGGATGAGGAGACAGAGGAGAGAGGGGGAGACAGGAAAGGGATTAGGTCGTCTCATATAATATCTATATTATTCTATATTCTATTTGCTGTTGTGATTAGAATGGGTGATTTTTTTCTGAAAACAGGAACAACTAAAATACATCCCTGGTTTCCATGGAAACCTATAAACTAAATGACTGCATTTTAGGGAAAGAAAACAGATTTAACTTAAATTGGTTGGGCTTACAGCAGCCAATCAGAAGCAGTAAAGCTTGAATGAGCTTCTTACCGTTATAAGTGAGGCGAGGTTTGGTCAGACACAGCACCAGGTGCAGATCCATCTCCTCTGAGGACACGTTCTTGGAGCAGACTGGGCACCTGATGCCTGACGAGCACAGAGAAGAAGAAAGGATGGAGAAGGAACCGCATCACTTTAGCTCGCAGTGACATTCAGCCGACCAGCGTTAGCAACGAGCATGGCCGCCAGATGTTCACCAACTCTGCTAGTCGGTGGGATGATGTAAACATGGCGGACAGGGATTTAGCAAGCGACTTGCAGTTCTGTTTTAGCTTTAAAAGCTGAACTACGCTATTGACGTCCCTCTGTTCCTGAAATCAGTTTGGACACGTTGGACCATAAACCATGACAGGACTTTTGGACATTGAGAACCGATGTTTGGAGCAGAGGGGCCAGTTTTGCCCCCCAGTGCTGCTCTCTTCTCAAAGCAACCCTTCCCAGTTCCCCCTGTCTGACCCCTGATGGCGTTTGAGGACTAAAACACAGGATCTCCTTCTCTTTCCATGATGCTGGTTCACATTGGAAGAGGGAGCCATCATGGAAAGGTCCATGAAGGACAGGCCGGCAGCACAGGGAACAGTCATGTGTCCAACCTGAACCTCCCAGATGGTGACAGTGGAACCAGTTTAACCACAGAGGAAATGAGAGCGCACAGATCCTCCTGCAGCAGGAAGGTTTCACTTCTTCACTTTAGGTCCGCTCTAACGCCATCATGGACTGTGTGGCGCCCATCAGGATACCTGAACATGAACGGCGTTTCCAGCCTGACGCTCACCCGTCTGACTGCCCACAGTTTATTACCCACAGTCCTTTGCTCTGCTCTGCTGCAGCTCCTGAATCAGCACATCCTCAGCCTCATTCTATTAAACAGGATTTATGAATTACTGCTGCATTGATCGGTTGGCTGATCATCAGCGCTGCATAGCTGAACGTCTACGCACTGCAGCTTCAGGAGCTGCTCAACGCCAAACGAAGCGCCGCGATTCTCCACAGCTGGCCTTTAGATAGACCGGTCCAAACATGGCCGACCCGGATGTCATCTGACAACTATCAGCTAACTGCTGCAGTTGGGAGCAGGAAGAGCTCCTGGTTTATAAAGCCAACTAGAACTATAGAAATAAACTGAATAGAATTAGAAGCAAACCACTAAATGGGTTCATGGAATGATGCTGATTCTCCCAGCAAAGCTTCGCCGCCTCCTGACCCACATGTCTATTATAGATCTATATCTAAGCTTCCTTTCTCTTCTAGAATTCTAGAGAAAATAGTTGCTTAACTAGTAAATAACCACTGCTCTACTTTTAGTATTACTTTCTTTTTCAGTTATCCTTATTTTGGTCCATTGAATATTAATTTCCATTATATTTCCAAATGAAACATCCAGAGAAGTGCTGCCTCCTGTCATGGGGAGTTTTGAATAGAATCTACAGCCTCCTAGAAGGTCTGAATTGTTTAGCTGTTTTTTTTTAATAAAGTTTCATTATAAATATGATAAATNAAATTGATTCTGTTCCTGTTTAACACGTCACACTGGGGGAGCTGTTGACCTCCCCAAGATGGCGCCACCAATCACGTCAGCGACCATAGGAGAAAGCGATCGATGCGGGGTCTGCTGTGGCGGTACCGATGGATCCAGAACCGGAACCACCGTAGTCTGGATCCACGGTGGTTTCGGTTCCCGGAGCCCCGGCCTCCTGCCCCCCGCAGCGGCCGCAGCCTCCGCCACTCACCGCTATGACGTTAACGAAGGTGGTCTTCCCGGAGTACTGCAGCCCCACCAGGGTCAGCTCCATCTCCTCCTTCCAGAACAGAGCCTTGAACCAGTCCAGCAGTTTGTTGATCAGCGCGATCATGTCTGCGCTGCGTCCGCTCCAGCTGCTCTGCTGCTCGGTTAGCTGCTAACTGACTGCCCGGCCCGAACCTCCGCGCTCTGCCGCTGAGGGCCAACAGACCGAACCAGGCCGAACCAGACGGAACCAGCGATCCACGCCGCCTCTCGGCCGCAGCAGGCTCGGTTCTTCGGCTCCTCTCAAACCCTCACAGGGTCTTTTTCCTGCTGCTTCTGAGCTGCGCTGTTCGCTGCTAGCGCCGCCAAGACGGAAACAATTCACCCTGTCACTTCCGGCGGAGTCCTTCACAATAAAAGCTCCTGGAACCATAAATCAGGCCGAACTGAGTTTTAAACACGATTCTCACACCAGAACGCGGGCGCGTGAACGACTAGATCAATCCGTTAGATAATAATTAGGATTTTTATTCACACAATAATCACTATTTTGCCTGTTTTTATGCTTTCAAATTAAAGGTAAATAAATCTTGGAGAGCACTTCCGGCTTGGGTGGGGTTGGTGAAGAAGGCAAAGGAGAGCAGAGCAAAGAGGAGGCAGCTCCAGCAAAAACACAGGAGGACCTTTCAAACACTGCCCTCTGTTGGTTCAGGCTCACCCCACATAGATCTGCTGATCTAGTTTAACATCAGTGACTGTTAGCAGCAGCTAATTAGATAACCCACCTCAGGTACCATCAGGTATGGAAGCCCAGAGCGGTCATGTCCCTACCATACTTTTTCACGGTGGTTTTGTCGAGAAACTGAGTTAATTTTCTCATTATCTAAAGATAAGGAAGCTGTTTTCTCGTGATAACGAGATGATTGGTGTGAAGTTATTACACCCTTCAACACCACAACAGCAGGTCAGGATTTATAAGTCATGGCAGCCTATGTATATATATATATATATATATATATATATATATATATATATATATATATATGTATAATGATTGTGTGTTTAACTTTGAGGTTATGAGACGACGTTGCTGGTTTGATCATTTGCTTCTGATTCATCAGCATTTAGACCAAAACCTCCAGGTGTTTTCTGATCAGCTCCGGTGTTACGCCTGGTTTATGCTCAGAAACCAGGTCGTCTGCGTGTGCCGCAGTTAACGCAGATATGCCCCGCCCCCTTCCGCAGACACTCTGCTGCACCTCTCCAATATTGTAGGTGAGCGCAGACAGGAGGCCTCTGATTGGTCAGTTCTCCATCTGCTCTACTCTGTGCATATTTCCTGTTTGGTAACTAATGGCAGAAACTCTGGCTGTAGCTCCGCCCACAGCGCCTGGCACACTTCGGACTCTATCCCAGACACCGTCAAACCGACACACGGACGCCCCCAATCCTAGCTAGTTCCTGATTGGCCCTCTGCCGTTGTGGCGTGGAATAACATAGAGCAGACCACGCTTCAATATAAATCAACAGTATCTGCATCATACCTGCGACAAGCGAACAGTGACACCCTGCTGAGGGAGGATAACCAGCCCTGGTGTTACACCTGTAACAGGTATAAGATGCATTAACCCCCAACATGAGTCCAGATTATTGAGTTTCATTAAAACAGTCAGATTTTTCCTGTGCTTGTATCTATGTGCATCGGTGTGTGTGTGTGTGTGTGTGTGTGTGTGTGTGTGCCCAAAATAATAATAATTTAGATCTACCGTGCCACGGTAACCGAGGCTGGTCATGTGATCAACACAACGTGCCCCCCCTCACCCTGCCTCACTGCGCTGCTGCAGAATCTCTACGATTCCTGATTTCAGACAAAGTCAGCAGCTGATCCGGTAACTGGGTTCTGCAGCGGCGTTAGTTTGTGCTCAGTGTATTGCTGCAAGATGAGTAAACTGACCAAGGAAAGTGAGCAATGAGCAACCTCTAGCTGTCCATTCGCACACGCCGACCTCTCAGAAGTTATAGCTGCTCGTTAGCGGCGCAAAAAGTGGCTGTTCTTTGTAGAACGGCGGCCTGACCGAACTGCATTTATATTACAGTCGTTGCTTCCCTGCTGCTAGCTGGTTGACCGCACATGCAAAGCGTTATAAGGAAGAAGTACGTCAGGTTTTACTGTCTGTCTGTCATTACAGAGATATGATGTGTTTTCTTACTGTCGAGCTGATTTGTCCTATTTTATTTCCCTAAAACTGTTCATTATGCATATTCACATCATTTATGACCGTTGCAGTATAAACAAACGATAATGGTAGAATCTGAGTATTGATTTTCTAAATATCTCATTTATTTACACAAAAATCAAAGAGGCCCATAGATGCTAATAAGCACACAGATCATATAGCTTTGATGTCATCCCCAAAATCAGTCAGCAAACTAAATAAAAGCATTTAAATAATAAAATATAAAATATTTGAAAAAGTGAATATTTATTCAATGAATGTTTCAATGATATATTACTCTATATCATTTTATTAAGTTTTACTTTATAGCACTAGAAATAATAAAGGGCAAATTATTAATGGGTTTAATTTGTGGTGCATTTATGAAAATGTATGAAAGTTTGTGTTTGATGTGATCAGAATGTAGTTTAAGGATCATGTTTCATTTAGCAGAGACGCCTCATAAGGGGAGGAGCTAAAGACCAAAACAAAGGAGCCGAGTGCGTCGGTGAAAGGCAGTGGATCACTCACCAAAGAGCACAAGAAGTCACAAGAAGCCAAGTGTGTCATATTTGATAAATGAGTTTTGGAGACTTCTGCATCATTGTGATGTTTTTTGTTCTGAATAAAACATCCAGACATGTAGTGAACAGAAGACAAGTAAAAGGTGATGCAGAAATGCCTAATTATCAAATAAATGAGCTAATTTAATTTGTTTCACAAAGTTAATTGACATTCTAATTTTGAAAAATGTGAATTTTCTGTTAATTATTTCATGTTTCAGGCTTTAAAGGGTTAAAAGCACAACTCAGGCAGAGTGGTTTGGAACCATCACTGGCGTTTTCCAGCAGTGCGGCAGGTCAGTCACAGTGAGCGTTAAGGTTCAAAGGTCACCTGTGGAGTACCGCAGGGATCAGTGCTAGGACCAAACCCTAGGAACCACTAGTAAACCTGCAGATTGAGAGCGAAGTGCTCTGTTAGGAACATCAGGAACAATCAGATCTCTGATATCAGATGGAGCTTGGCCATTTAAGGCTTTATATGTGAGAAGGAGGATTTTAAATTCTATTCTGGATTTAACAGGAAGCCAATGAAGAGAAGCCAGGATAGGAGAGATATGATCTCTCTTTTTCATTTTCATCAGAACTCTGGCTGCAGCATTTTGGATCAGCTGAAGGCTTTTAACTACAGTTTGTGGACTTCCTGATAGTAAAGAATTACAATAGTCCAGCCTTGAAGTAACAAATGCATGGACTAGTTCCTCAGCATCACCCCTGGACAGGAGATTGCTCATTTCTGCAATATTCCTCAGATGAAAGAAGGAAATTCTAGAAACCTCTTTGATCTGGGATTTAAATGACAGGTCCTGATCAAAAATAACACCAAGATTTTTTACTTTATTATCTGAAATCAGTTTAATCCCATCCAAATGAAGTGACTGACTAATCAGCTTCTTTTTCAGAGACTCTGGTCCAAAGACTATAACTTCTGTTTTGTCTGCATTCAGAAGCAGAAAGTTAAGAGTCATCCAGGTTTTTCTGTCTTCAGACATGCCTGTAATCTATGTAATGGGTTAGCTTCATCTGGATTATAGACAGATATAGCTGGGTATCATCAGCATAACAGTGGAAATTAATCCCATGCTGTCTAATAACTCTACCGATTGGGAGCATGTATAAAGTAAAGAGAATTGGTCCTAGCACTGATCCCTGTGGTACTCCACAGGTAACCATGGCAACATGGGGAAGATCTATCATTAACATGAACAAACTGAAAGTCCTTCCTTCCTTCCTTCCTTCCTTCCTTCCTTCCTTCCTTCCTTCCTTCCTTCCTTCCTTCCTTCCAGGTGTGTTGTTAATAAATATTCAGCTGTTTTGAACAGTTTTTATTCATAGCAATCAAAGCACACAGATATTAACAGGAAGTTTCTTTAAAATCTACTAATCTGTATTTTTTTTCTGATAATTTCAGTCCAGGTTTAAATTCTTGGGATGATCCAAACATCCTGCTGGGGTGTTCTGTCTGGTCTAGCTCTCTACCAGTCCTTCCTGGAGGTTCTGCTGTTTTCTTTAAGTGCACATCTGGTAGAGCAACTTCTAGATTCTTTTTCAGTCGGTCTGTAGCTGAAGGGTCTGCATTCGCATGCTGACCTGGTCCTCAGGGCTCTGCTGGTTCGGTGGGACTGTGGTGGTCTGGTTCTGGTTCTGATGGAAAGAGCAAAGTTAAACATGCACTGGGCCACTGGAGGCAGTTTCTCAGGTCTGGGTTCAGGATCTAAAGCAGGTTGGTTCTGGTCCAGGAATGCCACTGTTGTTTATTCCTAGACTTTTTATGCGTTGATAGCAAATGAGAACCAGCTGATCTAATATGTCTCAGTTCTTTCAACTCTTCTGTTGCTCGATGGGTCGTCAAATAGGAGGAGCTTTTATCTGCTGCCTGTTATCTGTTCATCTCAGCATGAAGGACCTGGAATTTACTGAGCGAGTCACGGTGCTGTCATTAATGTGTACGGCAGGGGTCATCAACGGGCCCCCGGGCCCCAGGGGGCCCTCAAGGACCACATGTGGTGCCCTTGACGTCTTCTGAAAACAGAACAACTCACCAGTTTAACGTTTTATTTTATTCTGCTGCTCTTCTTTTTAATCATCCTTAGATCATTTCATCATATTTAGAGATTTTAAAATGACAATATTCAAAAGAAAATTAGAAATTAAAAGTTAACAATAAAAATGAGTTTAATATCGAGGGAGTTTAGGTGAACACTGACCCCTCTGGTTCACAGCTCAGTATTGGTAGCCCTGCTATGACTCAGTAGCCATGAAGCGACTATCAGCCTTAAAAAGGTCGGTGACTCCTGGTTTAGAGACAAACAAATGCTCTGCCGTTCCTAAATCCACCAGATCCTCCAGAG